AGGAAGAAAATGTCTTATCAGAAGCAAAACTCAGGACTTAATACTGGAAAGGAATTTGGATGCTGTTTGGGATCAGTTTTATAAGCTATGCGCATTCTAAATCGTTACCCCTGTTTCTTCCCCTAGTACACTTAAATGTAGGTAGCAAAATAGCCACAGAGTGAGGATACAAGGAAAAATAAACTAAGGACCCTAAAGAACCAAGAACTTACTTGAATTACTTACTATACGGCATGTACAAAGTGTGAAAAGAGAACAGGGAGAGATGGAGGGAGAGGACCCATTATAGTAGTTTTTATAAACACCCCTATTTATATAGGTTTCTTTCAATGTGGAAAATAAACAAACATACAAAATTAACAATTTTGCTCCAGAATGTTGCCTGCCATATTTTTTAATAAAAAATATTAAAATTTTTGTTACCAAAAAAATGTGCAACTGGGAAGCAATTAGTTGAACTAAGACTTTTCTAAAATCTTTCAAGTGTGGAACCTATAAAATCTTAGCCAGAAAGCAGGAACAGATTAATTTCATAGCTTTAATCTTTTCCTATTAAAGCGATGAAGGCCACTGATATAGCTGAGCGGCACAAACATCAGCGTGGCAAGTGCAAAGTCCTGAGTTTGATTTCCCCATACAAAAACAAAACAAAACAAAACAATGTGACATATTACTTTATTCTTCTTCCCATAATCCCAACTCCTATTTCTGATCACTTATAATAATTCTGTGCTTGGGGCTGGGGATTTAGCTCGGCGGCACAGCACCTGCCTGGCAAGCGCAAGGTCGTGAGTTCAATCCCCGGTACCGGAAACAAACAAACAAACAAAAAAATAATTCTGTGCTTTTACTTATTTATATAAGTAGACTAAATACAGAAGGAAAGGGTCTCCTGCTTGCTTTCTGTTTATTCCTCAGCGTCACCAAGGAGACCTAACACTTATTTTAATGTTACAGCTTAGATCTGGAATGCTCCCCAAACCCCTCATGTGTTCAGAAGTGGGGCTTTTGTAAAGTGATGGATCATGGGGGTACAATACCCATTAGTGGATTAATGCAGCCCCTGAATGTGCTGGTAGACAGTGGGATCTGCTCGGTAAGGGTATAATAGAGAAGGCTCTATCTCCCTCCTGTGTTCCTCCCGTGGGCCCCTCTGCTTTCAGGCAGCAATGGCATGAGCAGTGTTACTTCTGCCAAGATCCCACCATGCCTTTTCTGACATGCAGCCAGCCAACAATAGACGGAAAAGCTGAGCCAAACTAAACCTGCCCTCCTTCGCACTGTGGGAATCAGGTCCCGTGTATCAGTGCTGAGAAAGTAACTACGACAACAATTCTCAAATCTAGTTCTTCTACCTCTATTGGAAATAGAATATTTTATTTGTATTCTAGTTCTTCTATCTCTGCTTTAATCATCATGTCCTTTGGAAAAACTTTTGGTGCTTCTAGAACCAATATACCATGATGCAAAAAGACTCAAATTCAAACCTCAGCACTAGCTGTTATATATGTGATTTTTCTATAAGCAAGCCTTTTCTTCTATAAAATAAAAAAATTATAAGTCTGCTAAAAATGAAATGTAATTGTAAAGGCATATAAGGAGCTATTCTTAATGTAAATATAAAAGCCTTACTATGGCTGGCTTCTCTACATACTTAATATATCCGTGTCTCTTCTTTTCACATTTTTATGTCAAAAGCTCTCATTCATTTTATACACACACACACACACACACACACACATATATTTTTATTTATTTTCTTTTTTTTTGAGATAGGGTCTTGCTATGCAGTTCAGGCTGGCCTTAAGCTCACCTTGTAGCCCAGGCTGGTCTCAAACTCGCAACGATCTTCCTGCTTCAGCCTCCCAAGTGCTGGGATTATAGGTGTGTTCCACCATGCCCAATGCCCGGCTCTTACTCATTTTAGAATCTAACCTTAAGAAGAATGAACATGCCTCGTATACCTGCAGTGTTTCAAGTGCTAGAAAATGAGCATAACACTGCAAATCTTAAAACATATCAAGTGTTTGCAGTATCACACTTCAACTGTTCCTTAAACAAAATCAACTTCAATGTTAAACAGACACTGATGAGCAAACCCTTGTGAGGTGGAAAAAGGCAACAGAACTGGGACCAGGTTAAAGAGAAAGAACTCTCTGATCTTAAAGCCATTCTAAACAAGTTTCAGTTTT